TTTCCACTGAAAATGTCTAATGAAGCTTTGGAGTGTACTACTAGTTTCAGATCAATTCTCCAACTCTAATCCTCACCGTTGTGATAACTGAACTAGGAGGGCTGGGCAGAGAGAGAGACAGAAGGAGTCAGGCTGCTGAAGGAAAACCTATTTGACTTGGGCACAATAGACCGTCCTACAGATGGTAGACGTTGCCCCATGCCCCTCCCAACACCCCACCCTTCAACCATGCCCAACTGGAACAGGGGGCCCCCCAGTCTGAACCCTCCCCCTCTCTTTCCTCACCCCCCTCTCCAGCACCCCATCAATATTCACCAGTGACCAGTGAAAAATCCCCCTGACACACCACAAAAAAATTAAAATGCAGTTCTTTCCAATCAAGTTTAATTAAAATATTGTTATTAGATTACATTCACATATCTGTACATTAAGACTGTAGGTTGACCAGTGGATTCTGAATCACGTGATGGTGCAGTGTGTGAGCCACACAGATAAAGAAACTCCTGAACAAAAACTGAGGAATTAAAACAACTTTGGAGTTGTCAGCAAGCATGTTCAATAAAGACTGAGAGAAAATACAATTGAACAAATATTTAGTAGAACAGAGAAACTTGTTCTCCAAAAACAGACATAAGTAAATGAATACATCGATCCAGCTTTGACATGGTTTTAGCCCAGTAGTCTTAGGAATTACATTGCCTTTGGGTGGATTCATTAGTGGCTTGATTTGGATTCGTAGTGGCATGTGTGACTACTACGTACATATTAACGCTGCCATAGACACCTTTGGTTTTCTTATAGAGATTAAACAAGAAGCATCTCTGTAATAGTAACAATACCAGCCTTCAACAGAAGTTGCTTTGACAAAACCAATGCTTTCTGTAGGATACAATACATATTGCGTCTGTACCATGAGTTAGTGGTCCCATTCCAATGGATAAACTAGCATATAGAACAGATGACATGACAAACACAGATTACATTCTCAATAAAACACAGGAAACAATGCAGCACAATAAAAACATGTAATCTTTGTATTCTTCATGCTTTGGGGTAAAAGTGGTATAAAACACATCAAACGCCACAGGAGTAGTACATTACATTCCCACTGGCTCCAGTGTCTTGGGCTGGGAGTAAATTTGTGGTTTATGGCCATTTCATGTTTTAAAGGGACATTTCACCAAAGATATCATACTACGGTGTTCTCACAGAGTGGTTGTCAAGTTGTTTGGGGTTAACTTAGCCCAGACCTGCCAACCTTGAAGAATCTTTATGAGTAGCACTTAAGCGCGACAGCAGCGCCCCCGGGCCCCACAACGCCACGCGTGCGACACCGACACTACGCTCAGATCACAGGCAAATTTACCTTTTTTTAGCCTGATAATGATGTTGGCAGAAGACTACCTCAGTACGAATGGTAGGCTATAGACTTATGGGTGCTTGGTTTTGGCTGCACTTCAGTAACTCACTACAAAGAAGTTCAATTTACAAATCAGGGTTCTCCCTAGGATTTTCTGACAAGGCGGTGCTAATGTAGGCCTAAGGTCAGGTAGGGGGGAGGTGAACCCTTCTGAAAGTTGGAGCATTTTGCTTTTTTGAAAAAACTGTATAGGCCTAACTGCCGTTTTCTGAAACCTAGAGACTTAAATGATATCAAAACAACGTAGCCAACACAGTAGTTGATCCTGAATAAAATGTTGAGTTGTTCTCAATGGCTGTAACATTTCTTCTAGGTTAAATTTAGAGGTAATGATTATTCTAAAAAGGTGTCTTTATGTGGATAGTATAGTGAAAATGTAAACTGGCTTCTTATGTTGAATGGGGGGGGGGGGGCAAATTCTGAATAGGCCTAGTTCAATTACTGGATGCAATGTAGTAGACCTAGTCTACTGTATTTGGAATAATCATGAAACAACTGAACTAGGCCTATATGAGCTTGTTTCAGATCTCCATCCTTGACTTAATTAATCAATCTTCCTTCTCAGTTTAGGTCTACAATTCATTCAATATGCCTTATTTTCATTGGTGAACTGACTAGGCTATTATAACATCATTAGCAGCCTAGGACAGATCAATAACTGATTAATTAACATAGGCCTAATAATCAAAAAAAAAAAACTGAAGGACAGTATTAGCAGAACAGCTCTCTCTGCCATGTCTGTTTTCATCCACGCTGCGACACGCACTGAATGAACTAGGCTACCGCAACACCGCTCGTTTCCTTGCTAGTCAATACGCTCACGTTCAGCAGCAGAGGCGTTGATGTTGCGGCTATTTAACATATTTATTTCTGTATGAGCAGTAACTCGTAGTGGATGAGCAGTAACAAAGTAACAAAGCCCATGACTATCATCCACTGAGTTATCATAAAGTGGTTTAAAACAGGATCCAACTAATAAATACATTCATGAATAATCAATAGACATCAACACTGTCTGTAAGTGACCGCAACAACTTAGTAAACAACAGAGAGACAGTAACAGATAAATAGAAGAATCTAACTGGATAAAGGGTTTGTGACCAAATGCATGGTGATATAACGTTCAAGAACTAAAATAGTCAAATCAATATTTTAATACCTCTACCTTTCACCACGCAGTTATTTGAAAGAAGATAATCACCACCCTCTCCCTCTAAAAAATATATTGCGTAGGAAGCTAGTGTTTTTGCTTTCAGCACAGACATTTGACAGTGCAGACAGTTTGACAACACAGCTAAGTGTTCTTCATTTGAAATGTGAGGAACACTCACTGAAGATATGGGTTAGAAGTATCCCTGTCACAGCTCAAACATGTTTCTCTCTGGTCGCTTTCATTTGATTTGTCGACATATTATATTCGAAATGCCTCAACCAAAACAACCAGAGAGTGTACTGTATGGATGCCAGACCCTGACAGCAATGTTCCTGAGTTGAGGAGTAATGTACATGTTTCTGGTGTAAAAATGACTTTTTTCAACACTTGCGCGATAAACATGGAGGAAAGAGGATTTAAAAACTGTATGTACTTACTAGTCTAAAAGAGAGTAATACAACAGTCTTAGATTTTTGGTCTGAAATTACATGTATGTAGTCCTCCTGAGGACAGAGTAAAGATAAGGTAAGACCATGAGGTGAGGTTGGTCCAATCAACATGGGTAATTCCAACCACATGGTTTGTGTGGAACTAGGAGTGGACTATACCGTAGACATAATAACATTGGTAAAACTTCACTTTGACATTGAAAAACTTTGGTTGTTAAGTTTGTATTCATTCTCTTTGGATTTCAATATTCAATCTCCTAGCAGTTTCAGCTCTGTCATCCACTAGTATGTAGCTCAGTTGGTAGAGCATGGCGTTTGAAACGCCAGGGTTGTGGGTTCGTTTCCCACGGGGGGCCAGTATGAAAATGTATGCACTCACTAACTGTAAGTCGCTCTGGATAAGAGCGTCTGCTAAATTACTAAAATGTAAATGTAGTAATAGTAACACACTGTCCAGAAAGCTAAGCTCTCCTCTCCTCACAGCATTAAAGACATGCTCTGGAACTTTGGCGACTACCAAGTATTTTTTAAACCTCCAGCTTTGGGCTGGATGTGTCAATGTGTAGATCATACATGCATAATCTACGAGCAGAATTACTGTCTTACCTCAATTAGCCACAAAATCCCTAGTTTGAAAGCGACTGTTTTTCTGGAAACTGTGCTGTGCCATTTTCCCCTATGTGGGCCAGCCCGCTAGCAATTCGAGATCTAGCCAATGAGCTTCAGCCCCTCGCCATTTGAGTGACAGCTAGCAAGATGCACACTGTAGAGCGAGAGCAATGACGTGGTACACATATCTGCACTTTTGGCTCGTGAGATTGACTTTTAGAACTACTGGCTAAAAAGTATACAAAAGTACCAGAGAATCTCTTTAAGAGACAGGAGGAACTTGTTGAAAACCAAAATAAACTTAATACAGGGTTACTGGCCGCCTGTCTCAGTAGACCAGCCCTTTCAAAAAAACGCTACAGACAAAACACAACAGTACCAACAGAGTATGATGCCTCAAAGAAAATAACTCCACCCCTCCCAGACCCAAAGTAGAAATACCCAGTTTAAACATTCACAAAAGCGTAGCAATAAGTTCTCAAAACATTTTACCCCCCAAGTTTGGCTTTTTCAAGACTTCAGATAAACTACAAACTCTGATCATGAACACAAGTAAAGTAAACATCATTGCGTTAAGACCACCCCTGATCATTTTCTAATAATGCCACGTTTCAAACAGGCTGTGTATGTGATAATGTATTATTATATACACAGACGCTAGGCTGACTAACCTGTTCCATCTAGCTGGAGAACATAATATTACTACTGAGTGTTAGCCAGCCATGCCAGGGGTCCAGTACGTGTCTTATAATGAGGTAGTAGAGGCACTGAGGTCCCTCATTGACCAGCGAGAGACAGCTACAACAGCCTGGAGGCACAGAACTGACACCCTGGGAGGACTAGTTTGGTTGGATGCTAAAAGCTATCATCAAAACACGTTTGAGCCACCTGGGATGGAAAAGAAGGAGTCTTTGGCAGATGGCGAGGTGTGGTGTGTTGACCCTGAGATTGCCAGTACAGCTGGCTGGCTGGCTCCATGTGGATTTTATGATGGGGTTCTGAGGGTGAAGTAACGGTTGGTATTAGTAAGATGGTGTTGAGGCAAGTCAGAGGAACAGTTGTCAAGAGGAGGTAAGGAATTATGGTTGCCCCAGTTGCCCTGATAAGGGTGAGGCTATGGGTGATGGTTGTTAAGAGGTTGAGATATGGGTGATGGTTGTTAAGAGGATGAGATAAAGTAAAGGAGTAGAGTTACTCAGGAGGAGTGGTTATAAAAGGTGGGGTAATTCATTTCAAGGTGAGTTTCTAAAAAGTTGAGGTAGAACCCAGGTGTGTTTACAAGGGTGAGGAGGTCCTATGGGTAACAGTAGCTCCAGATAGTTATCTGAAGATGAGGCAGACAGCCTAATAGAGCCCAGATAGCTGTGGTTCAGCTGCAGTAACCATGGTGAAGTGTCCTCTATGAGGGCGAGGTGTGCATCTTTAGATGGCTGAGGAGGTTGCGTTGCTGGGTGAACTTTCCACCACACAGCTGGCACTCGTAGGGCTTCTCCCCTGAGTGGACCCGCATGTGTTCGGCAAGGCGGTACTGGCGTGTGAAGCGCATGCCACACTCCTCGCAGGCAAAGGGCTTGAGGCCCAGATGGCTCCTCATGTGGCGGGTCATGGTGCCACGTTGGGTGAACAGCTTGCCACAGATGTTACAGGGGAATGGCCGGTTCAGCCAATGGCTCTTCTCGTGTTCCCGTAGTGACACGGCGTCCTTGCAGCTCTTACTGCAGACTGTGCAGCGATGCCGAGTTTCGTCAGCACCAGGCTCCACCCCCCGTGATGCATAGATGTCTGGGTCTGCATCTGGGTCTTCGTCCTTCAGGTATCCACCACCCTCCTCTTCTTCCTCCTCGTCTTCGAGGTAGATTTCATCCTGGGTGTGTGTGTCGACATGGGCGTTAAGCTGCTCGGAGCTGGGGAAGCCTTTTCCACAGGGGATGCAGACGTACAGATTGTCCCCCACACCTGGCTCAAACCCTGGCTGGGGCTGACGGTAGATGTAGTTGGTGTTCCCGTTTCTCCTCCCTCCTCCTCCTCCCTCACTCCCACTGTGCCCACTCTCTTCACTCTGGTCCTGGCTGTTCTCCTCTCCACCCACCTCTCCATCCTCCACCACTGGGGTCACTCTATCCCCTCTGACCAGCTTCTCTCCCCCTGGCGCCCCTGGTCTCTTCACTAGGCCGTTGGGCAGCGCCTTGCCCGTCTCCCCCAGGTTGGTGGCCTCTCTGTGGGGTCGGGGTCTCTTGCAAGGTGCCCTAGGCAAGAGGTCTGTGGAGGTATTTGGAGGCTGCCTCTGGTTCTCCTTAGGCTCTGGCTTGGCGCTAGCCGTGGTGGGAGGAGTGGGAGTGGGAGAGACAGATGAGGAGTGGGGGGAGGGGCTGTGGGGGAGACTGCTGGGGGACACTTCCTCTGTGGCGGTGCTCCCTGATGGACTCCTCTTGGACAGGTCCAGTCCTAGAGCCAGCCCATTAACCCTACTTCCTCCAGAGGGGCTGAGGGAGGCACACCGCGAGCCCGAAATAAACACCTCCTCCTCTGAGAGATCCTCTCTCAGCCTCCCCTCCTGGCCCCATCTCTGGTTCCTCTGGTTTCCCTTCCTGGACCCTGAGTGGTTGTTATGGTGCTGGTGGTTGTGGTTGGGGGTTGCTCTGAGGGGGGTGGAGGAGAGGCGGAGGGGGCCAGGGATGTGTCCATTGGGGGTTGGGGAGGTGGAGGAGGAGGAGGAGGAGGGGGTCAACTTGTTGGAGCTGGAGGGGGTCTGGCCGTTGTGTTTGAGCTTCCTGCGACAGAGAGCAGCTAGTTCGGTCAGCTGGAGGTAGCAGGCGGCGGTCAGGAGGGACGAGACACTGTGGTCACTGACGGAGTCAGAACTGGACAAACTACCTGTATAGATGAAGTCCAACACCTAGAGGAGAGAGGGGGTAGTGAGGGAGAGGGAAATCTTTATATTGTCCCAATGAGCAATTTGTTTCACAGCAAGTTGATATTAGAATACAGATAAAACAGCTGAGCGTTCAACGATTGATGTGAAATCTAAATTGATGAATGACAATGAGTCAATACAAATATATCTGTGTATACAGTGAATTCTGAAAGTATTGAGACCGTTCCCCTTTTCTACATTTTGTTACGTTACAGCCTTATTCTAAAATGGATTACATGTAGTTTTTTTCCATCAATCTACACACAATGCCCCATAATGACGAAGTGAAAACAGGTTTTTAGAAATTTTAGCAAATTAAATAAAAAACAGAAATACCTTATTTACATACACTACCGGTCAAAAGTTTTAGAACACCTACTCAAAGGGATTTTCTTTATTTTTACTATTTTCTACATTGTAGAATAATAGTGAAGACATCAAAACTATGAAATTACATAGTTATTATAGTAACCCAAAAAGTGTTAAACAAATCAAATTATAATTTTATATTCTTCAAAATAGCCCCCCTTTGCCTTGATGACCGCTTTGCACACTCTTGGCATTCTCTCAACCAGCTTCACCTGGAATGCTTTTCAGTTTTGAAGGAGTTCCCACATATGCTAAGCACTTGTTGGCTGCTTTTCCTTCACTCTGCGGTCCGACTCATCCCAAACCATCTCAATTGTGTTGAGGTCGGGGGAATGTAGAGGCCAGGTAATCTGATGCAGCACGCCATCACTCTCCTTCTTGGTAAAATAGCCCTTACACAGCCTGGAGGTGTGTTGGGTCATTGTTCTGTTGAAAAACAAATGATAGTCCCACTGAGCCCAAACCAGATGGGATGGCGTATCGCTGCAGAATGCTGTGGTAGCCATGCAGGTTAAGTGTGCCTTGAATTCTAAATAAATCAGACAGTGTCACCAGCAAAGCACCCCCACACCATAACACCTCCTCCTCCATGCTTTACGGTGGGAAATACCCATGCGGAGATCATCCGTTCACCCACACCGCGTCTCACAAAGACACGGCGGTTGGAACCAAAAATCTCCAATTTGAACTCCAGACCAAAGGACACATTTCCACCGGTCTAATGTCCATTGCTCATTTTTCTTGGCACAAACAAGTCTCTTCTTATTATTGGTGTCCTTTAGTAGTTGTTTCTTTGCAGAAATTCGACCATGAAGGCCTGATTCACAGTCTCCTCTGAACAGTTGATGTTGAGATGTGTCTGTGACTTGAACTCTGTGAAGCATTTATTTGGGCTGCCATTTCTGAGGCTGGTAACTCTAATGAACTTAGAAGTAAGTCTGGGTCTTCATTTCCTGTGGCGGTCCTCATGAGAGCCAGTGTCATCATAGCGCTTGATGGTTTTTGCTTCTGCACTTGAAGAAACTTTCAAAGTTCTTGAAATGTTACGTATTGACTTTTACGTATCAAGTAATGATGGACTGTCGTTTCTCTTTGCTTATTTGAGCTGTTCTTGCCATAATATGGACTCTTTTACCAAATAGGGCTATCTTCTGTATACCTTCTACCTTGTCACAACACAACTGATTGGCTCAAAAGCATTAAGAAGGAAAGAAATTCCACAAATTAACTTTTAAGAAGGCATACCTGTTAATTGAAATGCATTCCAGGTGAATACCTCAGGAAGCTAGTTGAGAGAATGCCAAGAGTGTGCAAAGCTGTCATCAAGGCAAAGGGTGGCTATTTGAAGAATCTCAAATATATGTTTAACACTTTTTTGGTTACTACATGATTCCATATGTGTTATTTCATAGTTTTGATGTCTTCACTATTATTCTACAATGTAGAAAATAGTAAAAATAAAGAAAAACCCTTGAATGAGTAGGTGTTCTAAAACTTTTGACCGATAGTGTAAGAATTCAGACCCTTTGCTATTAGACTCGGAATTGAGCTCAGGTGCAACCTGTTTCCATTGATCATCCTCAATGGACAACTTGATTGGAGTCCACCTGTAGTAAATTCAATTGATTGGACATGATTTGGAAAGGCACTCACCTGTCTATATAAAGGTCACAACGTTGACAGTGCATGTCAGAGCAAAAACCATGAGGTCATGAGGTCGAAGGAATTGTCCGTAGAGCTCCGAGACAGGATTGTGTCGAGGCACAGATCTGGGGAAGGGTACCAAAACATGTCTGCAGCATTGAAGGTCCCCAAGAACACAGTGGCCTCCATCATTCTTAAATGGAAGAAGTTTGGAACCACCAAGACTCTTCCTAGAGCTGACCGCCAGGCCAAACTGAGTAATCGGGGGAGAAGGGCCTTTGTCAGGGAGGAACCCAAGAACCCGATGGTCACTCTGACAGAGCTCCAGAGTTCCTCTGTGGAGATGGGAGAACTTTCCAAAAGGACAACCATCTCTGCAGAACTCCACCAATCAGGCCTTTATGGTAGAGCGGCCAGACGGAAGCCACTCCTCAGTAAAAGGCACATGACAGCCCGGTTGGAGTTGCCAAAAGGCACCTAAAGGTCTCTCAGACCATGAGAAACAAGATTCTCTGGTCTGATGAAACCAAGATTGAACTATTTGGCCTGAATGCCAAGCGTCACGTCTGTAGGAAACCTGGCACCATCCCTACGGTGAAGCATGGTGGTGGCAGCATCATGCTGTGGGTATGTTTTTCAGCGGCAGGGCCTAGTCAGGATTGAGGCAGAGATGAATGGAGCAAAGTACAGCGAGATCCTTGAAGAAAACCTGCTCCAAAGTGCTCATGGCCTCAGACTGGGGCGAAGGTTCACCTTCCAACAGGACAACGACCCTAAGCACATAGCCAAGACAACGCAGGAGTGGCTTCAGGACAAGTCTCTAAATGTCCTTGAGTGGCCCAGCCAGAGCCCGGACATGAACCTGATCGAACATCTCTGGAGAGACCTGAAAATAGCTGTGCAGCGACGCTCCCCATCCAACCTGACAGAGCTTGAGAGGATCTGCAGAGAAGAATGGGAGAAACTCCCCAAATACAGGTGTGTCAAGCTTGTAGCGTCATACCCAAGAAGACTCGAGGCTGTAATCTCTGCCGAAGGTGCTTCAACAAAGTACTGAGTAAAGGGTCTGAATAGTTATGTAAATGAAATATGTCCTTTTTTATTAATTTTTTGTGTGCAAAAAAATCTAAAAACCTGTTTTTGCTTTGTCATTATGGGGTATTGTGTGTAGATTGATGAGAAGAAAAACAATTTAATCAATTTTAGAATAAGGCTGTAACGTAACAAAATGTGGAAAAGGTCAAGGGGTCTGAATACTTTCCGAATGCACTGTATGTGACTACGGTCAGTGAGATGCTGCCTGTCAGGTGACCCACCTGTCTGAAGACGGAGGGGCTGACCATCTCCGTGTCCAGGTTGATCAGGTTGTCGTGGGGGACCAGCGACTTGAAGTAGACGCTGCTGGCTGCCAGGACGTTCTTGTGGGCGCGGAATAGCGCGTTCTCCACCACGATGATTACATCACACAGGTATCCTTTGGCTCGCTGCTGGTTGAGCTGCAGCAACAGTTGCTTGGAATGGTTTTGCTGCTCCATCTCACACACACACACTTTGGTTAACACCCTTGGGAGGGAGGAGGAAATAGGGAGAGGTCAGTTACTCAGTTCTGAGAACTCAAAGAAATCCAACCACTAATATTCTTAGACTAATTTAAAGTCCTGCAGGCCCAAATGTCTCCTGAAATTCTTGCAATGCCCAGGATCGCCCACAAATGGCCAATACATCACACCTCTCTGCTCTTCCTGCAACCATTACACTGATTTCTTCACATATAGGCCCAAACAACATACTAGCAAGCAGAGAAAGATAAGCCTTCAAATTACCAACTTGATAAACTAGCCACCAACCCACTAACGAACCCTCAACTACCAACAAATATCAGAAACCTGGTCAAAATAGACAGATGAGCCCCACCCTGGCCCGTTGTAGCTCCTCTGGCAGCATTAGATTCTGAGGAATGAGATCTATCCGTCTGTTCATTATCAAAGCATGCAGCCATACATACACGCACATGCACGCCACGCACACACGCACCTACACATCATGTCATGATGTCAGCCAAAAGTTCCATCCCACCTGAACCGACTGAAATTCTAGGCATTTCTTTAAACAGCTCTTACACAAAAAGGGCATTATCCTTTTCACAATTTCAGAGTGTTATTTTGACCTCATATTGTGGAAATATCATCAAAAAACAGGAAATTGTTTTTAACTGCACTGGCCTTTTAATGAATCATAAACCAAATGATCAGTAAAACAACTAACTGGTAGGTCTGCCTTCACTTGTTACTTCTGTGAACCTTCCTCTGAGAAATTAGAAAATATCTTAAAGATGTGGGTTTTTGGTAACAGAATGACAAGACACTAGGCAATATTTCTTAAACTTACAGAAGGAAAATAATTTCTGCAAAACTAAATATAAATGTTAATATTAGTTGTCAGGGGTCTTGACTTCAACATTATTATGTTTTTATGTATTTATAATACCTTTTAAATATTTTTCTGTTAGATGTTTTCTAAGACCCCATTTTCCATCTGTTTGACCAGAAATCAAAGCCTTAATAATACATTTTTAGGATGGAAAACATATATATTTGTTTATTATATATGCCATAATTTCTCAACTCTTAGCTTTCATTTGACACAAAATGTGATGTGCTCCTATGAACTTCACATGTTAGTGCTCATTGGGCTTTTTATATGGAAATGCCCCTATGCTAACATGATCAGCTGGCCAGAATGATTATTTCCTGTAACAAATTCTGCATCAGCCAATTAAAGATGATGACGTAGTTGGACGTGATCTAACACTTTTTCATGAAATCAACCTTAACAGAAGTCAAACGGCATGATCTGCCAATCAAACTTACTAAAACACGTGTGAATGATCAACTGGACAAATACATCACAGTGTGGCGAGTCTGGCTCCTGGTAATTTTCTGAGTTTGCGGCAAGGGTTCGAATCCCAGATGAGATATAGTTTTTTCCACTGAAATGTAGAATTACATTTATTGTGTTAGTGTGTTGCGAAGGGAAGTGCAGCCAACACCTTGAAAATGAAGATTAAGAATAAATGTAATGATGAGCTGCGTCTTTCTTCCACTTTGTGGACAAACAAACTGCTAATAATCATGTTTATTACATAGACGTGTACACTTAAATGTACAACGTTTTAGATGCATTATTACAATCATCCACTTCGTCACATATGTGTTATTTGATACTAGCACCAGCAGGAGATTGTTTTTCTAATTTAAAAAAAGGCTGTTGTGTATGGCACGCAATCCCACACATAAAGTTTCAGAGCATACCGCCTTAGCAGGGGACACTACCTGTACCAACTGAATTGCAGTGGTCTGAAGGGATAGGTCCATTCTATGAATTATATTTCTATGATTAAATGACACCCACCCTCATTTTCAATGTGATTTGACCAATTTACAGTAGTTTTATTTACAGTACTGCGCTTCAGCAAAACTTAAGACCGAACTACTCTTCAGTTCTAAACCTCCATCTCCACTAACCCGTTGCCCTACATCTGTACAAGTAGCAGCACCCTGGGGTATTTTTAGCTTTAATACCAGGAAGGTACAAAGTTAGAAATACTACCACTGATAACAATGCATCCCATCTGTCTTGCCATACATCGATAAGGTATCACACATAACCCACGCCCCCCAAAAATACACACTGAAAAAAATAGACGTTTGGGTAATCTGTCTATCTAACGACTGCACAACACACCGATGGTGATAAGATGCTGAGGGTCCTTTTATGGGCCTACAGGCCCCGTCTGCCCCCCTCCTGCCCTGCCTGCTCAAAAACAACCTCATCACTTCAGATGAGAGAACCATAGACATATATAAACAAGCTGTAACCGGGGTCTGGAGGAAAGAGAACAGGCCATATAACCAGGTGGTCTGGTTTAGAGAGGGCACCTGACCTACAGCATCAATGAGTTTGCCCTGCTAGCTTCTGATAAACATTCCTATTTAAAAGACTACTACATTTCAATGTAGGTTAAATTAACCTGTTTTGTTCTATCCTGTGTGGGCTATACTGTGTTCTGTAACTGTTCTAGTGTGTGTTCTGGTTCGGCCTGTGTTCTGTCCTAGCCTGTGTGTTCTAACCTGTTTTCTGTTATATCCTGTGTTATTTTAGCCTGTGTCCTGTTCACTTGTCCAGTGTTTCATCTTGTCTTCCTGGCAGAGATCACTGGCAGTAAATCACATGATCTGGTAATCTAGCTGGGTTTTAGGCATTAGGTCTGCTACAGCAAGCAGCTTGGCCCTCTGGTAAAACCTGGAGAATAGTGATAATCTGAGCCAGTCCACTTTATACTCTCCTTAATGCTCGTTAACTCAAATGAACTGTTTTCTACTGGAGATTTGTTTAGACCTGAGGTCAACCACCATTGTCCTGGAAAACTACCAGGGGTCTAATCCTAATCAGTACCCACCCAATCGATTCAACCTAACCTGAGGTTAGTCTCATTGAGATAAAATCTATTTTGCAAGAGAGACCTGGTCCAAGATAGCAGCAGGGTCAACGTTTAATTGCTGGGCTGGAACCCTCCACACACACACACACACACACTAGAGAGGTAGAGAGAGGTATTTGAAGTGAGCAAGACATTGTGAGCATACATTGTTGACATTTTCAAAATATGACCAGCCTCTGATCGTCAAACTTCGTCTGTGTTAATGTTGACAGAGATTATTATAACCAGAAACTGATGTTCCGGTTCGCCGTGGTTCATGTCATGTTAATGTCATGTTCCGAACCACCTTCGGCCCACCTGGTGAGTGAGAAGGGAGGGGGTTTGATTGCATTAATCACAGACACCTGAAATGAGACTGGCTGCCACAGTAAGTATAGCACATGGGGGATGTGTGAAATTTACTCTGTCCTCAGCCTGTATCCCCACTTGCACCAGCGAATAACTTGCTTTTCGTCCTTTACATAAGGAGTAGAGTTACCAATAACCTTCCTACCAGAGTGCCAATATGGAGTAGAGTTGGCCTGAGCAGATCAAGTCACAGATTAGAGAGAACCCTGTTAGCTGCAGAGTTATTAACCTGTCTCAAAGCGAAGTCCCCATTGTGACTCTTACTGAGCCAGGTTCACAGTGTTCCGGAAAGGCCACCCCAAGGTTAGCCCATTGCACATGTTTACTCCTAACTAGCTAACATAATTATTACTAAACACATGTGAACTCCTAACATAATTAGTTGTAAGAATCTTAAAGGAAAGATTCACCCATTTTGAACGATATATTGTTTTTGTGCATCTCTGAGCGATGTTCTATCGATCGCCTGCTTGAACGGCGAATAGCTACAGATGCACATGAAAACATGAAATGACCCCGGGATTCTTTAGAACATCCCTCAGAGATGCACAAAAACAATATAACATTCAAAATGGTTTAATCTTTCCATTAAGATGCAGGCCAGGATTTTAGGAGTGTAGTTGGCGGTCTCTTACTACCTTGGGATAGAATACAAAATGTTTTTAAACGTCTATTTGCCAGATGTTATGGGAAGGGAACTTTGTTTCGTCCAGGTTTGTGTTCATTTGGTTAAACCAAAAAAAGGTCAGTAGGTTTTTACGGCCACAATCCTGAGTTTGTGTTTCAGACAAACAGCAGCCCTACCACTTGGTATAAAACTGAGGGATGTGGCTGAGGAAATGTAACCACTAAAACTCATAGACCAAGCTAAAAAAGCAGGGACTGGCAGTACATAAGAATGATTTAACACCACAGTTTTAAACATATTGCTTTACATTGTTGTTTATAAAGACTGAGATGGCAACAAAACAAACATTGGAGTCAAATAACCTTAGGCCTATTTTGGGTTATAATAGGGTAAGACAGTTGTACTAGCTTTTGTAAACAATCATGATGCTTTATGATATATTATTCAGGAATCAAATCATTAGGCCTAATTGAAATTAAACAGCAGGAAATATTGTAAGAGATTGTAGCGGTTAAAAAATAAACAAATGAATAACAAAATCCCCATAGCCATGTTTTTATTTCAGCTATTTACAATATTTTGTGGATATTCTGATGGATTTTGGTCTAACCTACGCAGCAAAACGTTAAATCATTGCTACTGGTTACAATGTTGCAAAAGCCCGACGTTCCTCACATATTCGAGAAACATTTCAATTCACTGCAGTAACCATCATCAAGCGATTCTAAACCAGTGTTTCTCTCCCATTATTTAAAATATCTGATTCAATGACACACAGTTGAGAGACAGAATGAGGAAAAAACATCAAATGGGCGATACTCGTCTACCACAAAATAGTTAATGGTCTACGCGCTGAAGGGGTTGGGTGAAGGAAGGGATCCACCAATGCCTTTTATTCAATTAACCTACATTGCTGCGCCAGCTCTGAATCAGATTTCAGTTCATATTTTAAATTAATATACGTTTATTATATGATCAAGTTAATTATCTTATTCCAAAGCTGTGAAAAACAAACCGAAGTCAGCAATGCACGGGTTAAAAGGAGTGCAGGTATAAAGGTGGTTGCAAGGCTGGTAATACTAGCT